TATTGGTGTAGGGATTTGGGCAACCTGCACTTGCAATTCACAACACTGTTCACTGATTCCCTCCTGCAAGAAATATTGCTTACTACAACCCCTCCCTAAATCAATTAGTGATTCGTTGTGCTTTTATACTATCTGATGTATGTATGTATACATTCATTTTACTTGATTGTAAACTGGTTGCTTTTTAATGCCTTTAACATTAAAGGCATCTTTCTATTTTCAAAATAAATCAAATGTAACTGTAAGCTTCATGAAGGCAGAGACCATATACTTCATCTCCATACTACTAATATCTGGTACATTGTCAGTATGCCAACATATTTGCTGAATTCATATTAAACCAATGGGTCCCTATTTTCTAAGATAGAAGAAATGAGTATTAACACTCTAAAGTCTATAGGATGGGATTTTTCTTTACTAAGGAATTTACCACTTTATACATTGTTTCATGGATATTTCTTTGCATTTCTTAATTTACCCATTAAACTGTAAACTTCTAGAATAGAGGCCAACTGTTAATAATTTAAAATTGTTCTTCTATCTCTAATATATTATCTTGTTAGCATTATGTGCTTTGCTATTTCTTTAGAAATGAATAAATCGAATTATTTCTGCCACTAATTGAATCTTAATTCAGTTATCTTTATGTTGTTGTTGTTGTTATGTGCCGTGGAGTCAGTTCCGACTCATAGCGACCCTGTACAGGGTTTCCGAGGCTGTAAATCTTTACGGGAGCAGAAAGCCTCATCTTTCTCCTGTGGAACAGCTGGTAGTTTCGAACTTCTGACCTTGTGGCTTGCAGCCTGATTCGTAACCACTACGCTATGTTAGAAAGTCTCAATCATTTCCCTTATGGGAGACAATAGTCATTCAGTTGGCCCTCAATTGAACAGCCATCACCTGCCTGTCAGTGGAAGTGACACGGGAAGATGAGAGCAAGAGCATGCCCTAAAGAGGAGGTGGTAGACCCATGTGATAAGAGACTAGAATAACTAAACTTGCCTGTTTGCCCAGGAGCTCTGGTAGTGTAGTGGTTACGAATTGGGCTGTGAACCTCAAGGTCAGAATTTCGAAACCACCAGCTGTTCTGTGGGAGAAAGATGAGGATTTCTGCTCCCTTAAAGATTTGCAGCCTTGGAAACCCTGTACAGGCTCGCTATGAGTCAGAACTGACTCCACGGCACATAACAACAACAACAACAATTCTAATTATAGTGTTGAAAGTCTTGCATCTAAGGAAACTGTTCAGATCCAGGCTCACACAAATTGGGACAGTTGGAATTATATGAATAGGTGAAATCCCGAGGTCCACTCAGCCTACCTCAAGGATGCACAGGGAAAAGGGACTGAATCTCAATAGTATCCAGGAGAGTCTTAAAGAGCACTTTGGGAACAATGACAAGTGGATCTCCAAGAACTTCTTGGTGTCCTGTTTAGTCTGTAGTTATATCATCAACTGAGACTACTCTGGGTGCATAAACTATGTGAAAATAAATGCTCAAGGTCTTACGGTGAGTAGATGAAGTTTTCGTATATACATGTATTTTCCCTCTAAGATGGAATTGCTCAGTAATTCCAGCACTTTTGAACTTCTTTAAGCAGTTGCTGTTAGTTCAATATTCTGAAAATACATAGTCAGAAGACAAAGATTCCATGGACCCCTTGGGAAGGGGGAAATATAACTGGATGGTGCATGTAAAGAGACAGTTCGATTTGGCATTTGAGATGAAATGGGTTTGGTACTATAGTCTATGAGGGCATTGGTGACTCAGTGGTGGAATCCTCACCTTCTTTATACCTGCCTTCAATTTCTAGCCAATGCACCTCATGTGTAGCCATCACCTGCCTGTCAATGGAGGCTTATATGTAATTATAATGCTGAACAGGTTTCAGTGGAGTTTCTAGAGTCAGACAGACCAGGAGAAAAGGACTGGTGACTTATTTCTGAAAAGCAGCCAGTGAAAATCCTGTGGATCACAAGGGTCTGACTTGTAAATGATCATAGGACCAGGCAGTATTTCATTCAGTTTTGCATGGGGTCACTAGGAGTTGGGGGTTGACTCTCGGTAGCTAATAACAACAGCCACATTTTAATCTACATTATGTTGATGATTTTCCAGAACATTTAGTGATCTTGTCTCTGATGATAATTGAATGAAAATTCATAACAACTTTAGGAAAATAAACATCTCTTTTCCTCATTTAATGCAGAAAATACTTAGCTTTTTTTTAGAGATCATTCTGGTATTGGTATTGGTACATTTATTGATGCTCAATTTATTAATTTCTTCCTTGGGAAGCACTCCTAGACAGCTACTATCTTGGTTTGGCATGGTTTTCTGCCTGGATTTGTTTCTCTTGGGTACTAGTGATATTATGGAGTGAGTCAGATTTTACGGTTAAAACTATATGTTATTTCCCCAGACTTGGCTGCTGCTAACTAGCCATTTTTATTCACATGAAAGTTAAAACAAAGCACACAAAAAAAACTGTCATTCTTTTAGTTGTAAAATGTATTTATGAGACATCAGAAAATAAGCATGTTTCCTACTTCTTCAGACTACCTGGACTTCCTAATGGGTGGTAGTGGTTTCTTATAGCCTTTCTCCTCAGTTATGTTTCTCTTTGGGACCCTGTAGAAATATGTAGACAACACCCCTAAAATGGAACCAGGAAAATGATACATTTAATTCTGTTTAACATTATCTTCTATAGTTTATTATTCATAACTGACCAATAACTATTTTCAAAAGAAATCAATATAACATAGTTATATTAAAAATGTTAGGGACATTAGCATTTTAGACAACAGGTTCTTTATCACCTACCTTAGTTAGTGAAACCACCACTGTTTTGCCCAGGAATTGAAGCTATTTGGATTTTGTCTTTCAGATCTTTCATCAAGGATACCATGAAAATACAAAAGAAAAAAAAAATTGCAATTATTTTTGTAGAAAAAAGATTGGGGCATGAAGGACTTTCTGTGTTGTTTAGGCCTACATTTGAGTAGAAATCATACACCAAAGATCAGCTATGCCCTTTCTTCTCCTCATTGGTCTCAAAGTGTGGATTCCCTGGACCTCTACTGAGAAATGTACCCCATTTTGTAGAATTGACTTTGCAAAGATTGCCAAGAGTCTCGTCAGGGGAGATGTTTGGAAGATGATGTCAATGAGATTTTGAGAGTAGAAAGAAATGCTTCAAGTACCATGTATAAGAAAAACATACTCTAAATTAAGTGTATGTTGCAGTCTTTCTATTTTATCTTTGGTTGGTATTTCCAGAGATTTTATGCCTATGGGCTGGTGGATCTCCCAGGCTTTTACATTCTGTAATTAGATACCTTGGGAGAGGAACTAGAAAAATAAGAAGCATGTGAAAAAAGTATGTGTCTGTGTCTCATGAATTCATAGCTAATTATTAATGGTCCTACATAATATAAAACCAAGATTTCTCCAGGGAAAGGAAACATATTTCAGCCATATAATCAATATCCAGGGATATTTAGGGGGAAAAACACCCAGAAAACAAAAACAACAAACAACAAAAAAGTGAACATTTTCTTTTGTGAGGAAGTAAAAAAAAGAACTTAAATAATATAAAAGTTTTGTATCTAGTGGATAAAATAAATCCCACTGTGGTAAAATATATTTTCTTCAGAATTTATTCTGGCCTAATTTTAATGATCTAATATTAGCACTGTATTGTCATTCTTCTTTCTTAAGATTCTTGAAAATATTCTCAACATTCTTCTAAGTTTTGTATGTCAAAAGTGAGTTAACTTTTTCAGTGAGTGGTGGTGGTAGTTTCTGTATAGGGTTTCTGAGGCTGTAAATATTTCTCCCGAGGAGTGGCTGTTGGATTCGAATTACCTCCACTAAAATATTTGTTATATTTCTTTAAAATCTTGCCATCTGAATCATTACTTAGAGAGTTTCTGGAGTTCAGTGTAGTTGTTGTTGACAGGTGCCCACCAGTTGGTTCTGACTCATAGAGATCATATGCTCAACAGAACGAAGCGCTGCTGGGTCTTGCACCATCCTCACAATGGTGGCTTTGGCTGAGCCTATTGGTGCCTTTGTGTTGTGCCACTGTGTCAATCCATCTCATTGGGAGTATTCTTCTTTTTCACTAACCCTTCACTTTACTAAGCATGATGTCTTTCTCCAGGGACTGTTCTCTCCTGGCAACATGTCCAAAGTATGAGAGATGAAATCTTACCATTCTGGCTTCTAAGGAGCAGTCTGACTATATTTCTTCCTATACAGTTTGTTCTTTGGGCAGTCCAAATTGCTCTC